CGTTTGGGCCAAAATCAGGTCACGAATAAAATGCTTCAATATGGTTTCCATCACTTTTTTATAAGGGGATATTAAATTTCCTATTGAAATTAAAACTAAAGTATTATAAATAATACATCGCATACATAAAATAGTTCTTCTATGCTTTAACATTCTCAACATTAATTCGCAAATAAAAATCCAGTTCCGTTGATATTTACAGAATTAGTTATAATTTTATACCTAATAACGTAGCAGATCTTTAGATGTAGGTTATATTATGCAAGGTTATGTTATATTATATTATATTATTATATATATATAATAAGCAATGTATTAGTCTATATCTCTTCCTTCTTCTCTAAATAATCTTTCTTCTAAATACTTGGTACTGGCAGCGGCACCAAACAATTTAATTTCCTTTCTCGTTTAATATATTTGTCTACGATTTTAAACTTTCTATAGGGTGTCTTCATATGAACAAATGTTTCTTCTTTCAGGTTTAGGGTGGTTTGGAGCGTTACTTTTAGCAAACTCTTTTTCAACATTTTCACTTTCAGCCACATTATTATTATCTTTTGCCTATTTATCCATAACAATTTTAAGGTTATATTTATATTTATAAGTTCAATTTCAAAAAATTTTGTTGTATAATTTTCTGTACCACATCTGCGGAAGTTACTTTACAGTATTTTATTTATTAAACAATCTAACAACTTATGTTTCTCTTCATCTTTAAGAATATTTTCGAAGCTAAACTTTGTAACAGAGATTTTCAATAAATGTATATGTGCTAAGAATAAATATAACTTAAGAGCATTAAAATTGTTTTATCATATTATTTTAAAGTCAAGTCGTTGAGTGAATGTGGACGCTATTTGTTTTTAATGCTTACGAAGTGTCTTTTTTTTTATTCACTCAATTAATGAATGTAAAATCAATGTAAAACAACTTGAGTTATTTATTAGCATAAATTTGTTGAATATGTCAGCTGCTCTGCTAATAATGGCTTGTATACACTAAATCTAAAACATGTACATATACACTTACATACTACCACATGATGACAACCCACGTGATTACCTTTCAGCCAATCACACATCACGAATTAAACGCGACACTTTCCAGTCCATCTCTTTTTTCATATAGGCTTATGTTGTAAAAACGTTTTATTACTTACAAACAGGAAGTTTTAATTTTATGAAAAAAAAAGAAAATAATAAAATTGAAACATAAGATGACAAAGTTAAGAGAGCTGTAGCAAAAAAAAAATAATATCAACTAACACGAAAATAAAGCTAATAAATAAAACAAATTTGCTTCAAAAACAAATTTAATCAAGCCTTAATTCATAAAACCAGATCTTATTAGAGCTCTGTCACACACAGGCATTGAAGCAGACTACCACAAGCGCTTGCTCAAAATTTCATTGGGCCAATGAGCGTGACCGCGATGTAGTATTTCAACGGGGTCTCAACTCTGGCGGACACCGAACCCCAGCTCGGATTACTCTTGGACTTGCAGGTCACGAGCGCGTACACGTTACCGAGCCACAATTCGTAATCCTGCACCGCACACGTACTTCCAAGCCTAGGCGACGATGTGTTACCAACCACCCGATAGCAACCTCATTCCTATATATACGTGCTTGATTGGCATTATAACTTTTTACCTACGAGCATTAAATTTACGACTTAAATTGAGCTGTCGTAGTCGTTCAGTTACACTTTGGCATGAACTCGTAGATTGGGTTCACTGTCGTCAGAAAAAAGGGGTGATATCGTGAAAAGGGTAATACATTTGGTTAATTATTTGCCATCAATATTTCATTATTCGCTTGTTATTAGCAAGAGCGCGCTAAATTGAATTTTGCGAGTAATTAATTGGCTATTCGACATGTCTACTCATTTGACCACGAGCGAATTACAGTTGAGATTAGTTGCCAAACTTTCACACTAATTGTTTGACGCTATTGATCACAAGCTTTAGCCAAGCAAATATCCTACAACCGTCAACATAATTATGCGCGAATAGCACCTTAATTGCTAGAAGTAAAGATCAATAAAATAAAGTAAAATAGCGTATGAGACTTAGATATGAAAGGCAAAAGTAATAAAGTTATGTGAGTAGTAAAAATAAGAATCTATACTTGTGCAGAAGAGCGAGGGCATGATCTCTCTTTTAGTGTTGTTATTTTCGGCGGTAACGATGTTCCTTAATCGAACAAGGGTGAGAGAAAAGCCAATCGACACCCTCATACTTTGTGTACTCTCAGCGCGACATTCTTACGGCATCTAAATCTTCTGATGACTCTCTTTCTCGGCACGATAGAAGGTGGGAGAGCGCAGCTAATATCCACGTGTTACTGAATCTTGGCGGCTTCGAGCCAAGCGATAAAAAGACAGTGCGCGACGATTTAGTCCTCATTATATCGTTGTCACGGGTGGCCGGCTTCCAAATGAAAATTCATGACGAGTCTGAAGGGGACATTGTTTTGGACGTCCAGTGCTCATATACGCGTACGTAGGTGAAGCGGAAGAGAGGGAGACAATAGAGCCGCAGGGCTCTTGCGCTTAATGAAACGGCGGCGGATTACGTACATTGGGGAAACCGACGAGTTACGCGCGCCAGCGCCGCAGTTTTCTTTCATAAGGTTAAAGGCCGTTAACACCTTCGGAGAGGATTTTTATTAGGATCTAATTAACCGGGCCAAACGGAACTTACGATGGTTTTTTATATGGCCGCAGGTGCTTTGTTTTCATTAAGTGAGTTTTCAATGGAACGGGCGCCAAGCTTCGATTAAAAAAGTAATGAGCAGCGAGACCTTGTAACCTGCTCCTGCGATGACCAACTCAACGTGAATTATTAAACATTTTAATATTTTCAGTGATGATCTACTCAAACGCTTCGAAAATAGATTGACTGACAAGTTGGAGTTATCCTATGTAACGTAAAATTCGTTTGAGGTTTATTGGCTTCCTATTACACCACGTCGACACGTTAGCTATCTTCTGATATTTTTGTCCCAAATTCTATCAGCATCGGAATTTTATTTAATATTCTGCTGTGCTTCTGCTCTGAGAAAGCTGCCGAAGAGCAAAAATAACTTCGTAACTTCATCGTCAACTTCGATAAAGATTATAGTCCATTGGCATTTCGAACACACAGTCAGCTAGTAGAATTTGTCGTCTTCGGTAGGCGACAACGACGACAACGACGATGGCAGTTCCTCGGTTTGAGGATTGCAGAGAAGCGTCGAACTAACGCAAACACACACGTGCACATCCGGAAGGTTGGTGCGAAACGAAAGCAACGGTGATAACGTATAGATAGAGTGCGGTTGATGGTAAGCGCGTACACACAACAACTGCCAACGCCACATTTGACGCTGTACAGACTGCGGGGTTAAACCCGGAAAGTTGGACGGTCACCTCGCGACTTTGAGGTTATACACAGCTTGCAAAGCGGAAGTTGAGGAAGCCACGCTCCTTTATGCTCATGTGGCACGCGATCCTGCTGCTGTTGCTACTGCTGCTACTGCCTTTAAGCTCGCGCCCGCGTGCGACCTGAGTTCCTTGAATTTCTCCGCCCGTAAGTAGGAGTTTCAATAACATTCCGCTTCTACCCGCTCTCCACCGCTACACACCCGCGCTCCACTCGAATTCATTCGGGAACCAAACTTTTATAATATCCCTTTGTGCATGGTGATGGCCTTTATTGATGATGCACTTAACACTTTTCTTTCCCTTTGGCGATTGCTTTGCGCTGCACCCGCACACGGACTTGGCGTAGAGGTGGTTAACATTTTTGGAAAAGTTCGAATTTCTAGGGTGAAAGCTTACGAGTTCACTGATTGTTAATAGAAACTTATGTAAGAATGTTTATTGGTATAATATTCTTTCAACAAACGTTAAAGAAACTCTTATATTTGTATGTATCGCGTTGATAATCATTCAGCTATAAGACGACGTTCTTACTGACTTCTTCTAGAAGCTTACAATTTTTAGCGATTGTAAAAATAAAAATGATACATTTTTTTATTTTACTAGCAAGCGTTCCCGGGTATAACAGGGAGGTTTGCTGCGACCGAAGTATGAATAGTTATAATGTATTATTGGTTTTGAGTTACAGTTATTGGTAAAACTTTATCAATAAATGTTGGATACGTGGTCAAAGGTAATATATTACGGAAATATATAGGTACAGTTTTTGTTGTAGTAGGCGTATAGTACCTCCGCTTGATGTTAAATATCAAAATATATTATTTTCACAAAAATACTGTAAATCAGATTTGACTTAGTTAATGCCATTATTTTAAAAAAATAATCTTCAAAATCAAAACTTTCAAAAATCAACATAACTATCACTTTTCATCTGCTCAGCCGTAACAATTTTGAAATGTTGTTTAGAATAGCTATTCTTGCATAGATTATAATTTATTCAACTGTACTATAATATCGAATGAGCCAACGTCACTCCATAGTATTTTATATAAAATAATCTATCAATTTATAATCTCGCAATTGTTGATGACGTTTATTTAAAGCTGAACTTTATAACAAAGGTATTCAATAAATTTACATGTCCAAGGATAAATTTAATCGAAGTGCTTGTTATAACACGCACTAGATTTCTTTTGTAAACGACATGCAGTTGTTGAGTACACCAGTGAGTAGTAAATTGCATTAAAAGTTTTTCCGAACATCGAAATTTGTTTCCGTATATTTTTAAGTATGATGGATACTAACTGCACGGCGCTAAGATCATTTTCACGTTTGAAATTAATTAAAAATGATAATTAAAGTACAATGTCAAATGGTAGGTTGAATTCTCTTTTGCTGATGTACATCAAATTGGATATTGTAAATAAACTATCTTTCGACGATATAATATCTGAGTTTCTTGTAAAAAAAAACTAGAAACAAATTTTATTGCTTCGATTGAAAATTTTTATTTGTAAAATTTAAAGGAAATTATTTTATGTCGTTTAAAAAGAACTGAAAGTTAATTTGACGGGGCCCTTAATGTGTCGGGGCCCTAGGTCCGAGCCTCGTAGGCCCTTGTACAAAGACGGCCCTGTATATACGTATTAATATTTTAAAAGATTTTTATACTTTATTAGTATTCAAAGTATAACTTGTGGAAGTCAATACCGTATTGTCATGGTAAATGCTAATTTTACTGGTAATTGACGTCTTTTAAAAATAAATGGGTATTCATTTTCTAAAGAATACAAAGTAATCCTATTTATAAATACAATTTCTCCTTTTTTATCACCAGTTATTACTTTGAATTTTAATACATTATCATATAAATCTAATATTAATAGTCTTGTGGCATTGAAAAGACCTTCACTGTCTTTCATAATACTATTTATTTTTAACTGATACTGCGGAATTGATGGAGGATTAAGATTATTTAAATCTTCTGTTGCTACAATTTGATTGAAACCTTCATTATCGCAGTTATCTATAATATCTATACTTATAAATTTTTTCAATAGAAGGATCCAATAAATTGACCACTTTTTCATTAATTTCATTTCCATCAGTATTTCTTGTTGATAAAATAGTATAATTAATTGCTTATATATATTGTTTTCTTTTAAAAACTTCTTCGTAAGTTTCTTCAACAATAATATTTGGTACAGATAAAATGAATTGAACTGCAATTAATTTAATATCGATATTATTGCTATTGCCATTCAATTTTGCATATCTTACATTCAGTAGAAATTTCGAAAATTCTATTTGTTCACCTAAAGCTCTCATTTTTTTCAATGAAAATTTTTTTAAATATGTCGAAAATATACTGTAATTTACTGATGAATCAACTACCTCTGATGTCATAGTCCCTACTTGAACTAGAAGTGGTTGTTCAAAATCTCCACCTTTAATTACAATTTTACCATTGAATGGATAGTCGTCATCCATAATATCACGCAAAGTTGTATCGATAATTTCAATAGCATGCTTTAATGCCATTGGTACTTCATCTCATATGAATACATCTACTTCTTTTAAAAACTAAGCTTCCTCTGATTCCAAATGTATAATTGAAAATGAATTTGCATATAATGGTATTGGTATTAGGAACATTTTATATGAGTTTTTTTACCTTGAGAAAGTAATGTTGTGGCATTTCCAGTGAAAGGCATTATATAAACTTTTTTATTATTATCACTTAATATATATACTAAAGAGTATGATATAAAAATGTTTTACCTGATCTCCCAGGACTATCTATGTAAAAACATTTGTATAAATCTAATGTTTCATTCAATTGGCTATGAAAAGTAGTATTTAAAATTACACCTGCAATTTTTTTTTGTTTTTCATTCAACTAATTATACATTTTATTACCGATTGTAAGGAAATGTTGCAAATTTTTATTAGCTCTTTCTGATATATCATGATTAACAAATTTTAACAAATCTTGTATTTGAGGAAAATCTTATAAGATTTTATTTTCTGATATAAGTAATAATTTTATTTCTGTGATTGCTTTAGTATGGCTATTTATTTTATCAAAATGACCGTGCAAAATTTTCCGACATATTATCCTTAAATGTAATCCATAATGCAGCCGGATTTAATGAATTGCAATATAAACGTATTCTTATAAATAAAGAACGTATCTGTTTTGACATCATATTCGTTGCTGCTTCAGTCATTGCATGAGCCTATTCTTCATAATTTTCAATAAATCCATGTGCTAAACAAATTTCAGTAAAAGTCTGTTTAAGTTCGCCATTTGCTTAATGCCTTTAATGCGTCACACTAATATTCTTAAATAAAATAATTCTTGTTAACTTGGGCTAACAATGTACATTCTTTCAATAACATTTATTAGCTTCTTTCTTTTACACTATTATTTTACTTTTTTACCATTAACAGTTACTTGTTTCAATAGATAATGATCTGAAATATCTGTGTAATTGTATTTTCTAATATTTTCGTCTCTTTTATTAAATTCAAAGTAATCTACAAGCATAGATACTTGTTCTAATGCTTTATTTATTTCTTCTGCAGAAGGTTCAGTGTGAGTAAAAAAAAAAGAAAAATAGGAGCACACCCTTGAGCTTTGGTCACCACTTCTGGTTAGTTAAGATTAAGCTTCGAGCTTTGTTAATGTTCTAAAAGTGAGGACGTAAAAATTATGACGTCGTAATTATGAAAATAAAATATTTTTATTCTTATATTCTCCATACGTTATGCAACAACATTTATTTTCGAGATATCATGAATATCAATAAAAATCTATTATTAATATTATATAACATATAATATATCATATAATATAATATTAATTGTATATTAATAAAAATAAGACAACTAATCTTAAATTCCGTTGAATTTGATAAAGTGAAATGAAACTTTGACTTAAATTATATACATAAAAATACCTAACACTACTGTTTCTAAGTGTTCATTCTTACAATAATAGTAAATTAATTGCTGCAGTTTATATTACTAAAAAATGAAAATACAATTAAACTTTTTACTTTGTTAGTACTCATAAATTTTGAATGCGCTTTTTTCTATCAATCAGGGATATTGAATACTCGAGTTTACACTTACTGTGGTACCAAAATATCTAAAAAAATTTCTGTGCTATGAGAAAAATTGAATTATTGAAGCTGTTTATAGTCCAAACAGTTGATTTGTGATGGTTACTGTGAGGATAATATGTATAGCACAGTAATCGGATCACGTGCAGACGGTTCATTTGTTAGTTAGAATCAAGTAGATTTATTTAATTTTTCGATAAACAAGTAGCGCGTGAGTAAATGACACCACTGTACCAATAAGTAAAAAATACAAAAATCGAGCATCGCGTTTTCTTAGCCTTGTAATTTTTGACTGAAACAAAGCATGTACGCAACCTTGTAGGCGCAGCTGTAGTATGTAGAAAAGTACTAGAAAAATCAAAAAGTGAGTCAAAATATTCAAGGGCGTTCTAAAAAAATTGTTAAGAGTTAGTAATTTTTTGTAAAACTCGCATACGTTTTCATCATTTTTCAGTTTTACAAAGTTTTTTCTGGAAACATCAAGTATCATTTCGTACTTTTAAAACGTACAAAATGTTAATATATATATTCACAGATATGAAAAAAAATAACGTGGCTGATTAACGTTATTGAATTTGTTATTATTTGATCATATTATCCGTCTCGCTTGATATTAAAAGTTTTGAGGATTTGCCCATGTATACTATCATATAAAATAGCTGGTCATGCAACTATCTTTCAATCGGTTAGATCACGAATAAACTGGCTTTATTTTGTCAGGTTTTCATTTTATAAGAGGATAAGTGGATAAGAATGATTGAAGGATGAGTTCGAGATCATATCTTTCAAATCAACGATGAATACCTGTCCAATTGATAAACATACAAAACGCAACTGTAGTTTACAACCAATTTCTTCCGGCAGTACGCTTGTGGAGTCAAACTTTCAGTTTTAAAGACAGTCGTAAATACGTATGTCGACTAGCAGTCGAGACGCCGAGTATAGAGAGAAGGCAAAGGTATCCGAGTGCGTGAGCGAGAGAGAAAGTTAAGAAAATTGATCGCGGCTGGAAGCGAGCAAAAAGCCGTCGCCCGGAAGTATAAAAATCCGAACGGCGCGCGCTTGGGTCGCTCGTAAAAGGGCGCTTGCAAGCAGCAGAAGCTGATCGACGAGTATGGGTAGATAGGGAAGATAGTAATGGAGGAGAAAGAGAGAGTTAGAAGAAAAGCGATGGGGCGCCGATATAAAAGGACGTACTTGGAGTTTCTCTACACTTTGAAGTCGCTTTAATACCGCTTCAGTCATTACTTTGTTTTTCCAGCAGGCTGATCTAAGGATTTTTTCTTCTTTACTTTAATCTGACTTTCGTTAAATAAAAAAAGAGTTTTTTTTTCGCTTTACAACACTGACAAAAAGAAGTTTGCGCATTTCCAAAAGGAAAAGTACGTAATCTTTTTCATTCTTGTACGGTAGATAACTAAATAAAAAAAGTTAAAACGTGAGACGATGGCGTTTAACGACCGAAAAAGTCCATTTGACAAGGATTACTAAGATTCAAAGTCGTACATGCTTTAAAGAATGTAAAGCCAGCGTGAATATGAATACTTCCTTTTGAAATTACCCAACTCATCTAGTGGTAAGCAATAAAATTGTGCGTACTCCAAGAAATAATGGAACTTAGGTGACGAGATCTATATCTACAGCATCGAGAGAGGGAGAAATGATGGTCAGTTCTAACACTCGGACCATCATTAAACGCGTGGCGGTGAATTAGGCGACGGCGGGTAGACTTTGCTGTTTATGGATAAGGGCCATTCCTTCCGTCACGTTAAAAGGACATCTGAGAAAGAGCCCGAGCGAAGAAGAAATCAAGGCTCGCTTTCATTAACGATCTGCCCACAGTGTGGCTCTTATCTTAGCCAGAATACCTCGACGGTCGGAGCTTTATTAAATACCACGCGAGCGCACTGCGGTCGACTGTCTGACCGCAGCGCTGACTGCTTCTACTTCGTGTTGTAAAATGTATAAGACAGCCGAATTCAACAGGAAGATATTTAATCATTGCAGATTAACTATTTATATAAATTTTTTCATACATAAATAAATCAACCATTATTCTGAAATCAGTGTTAATTTTGCACTTTTTTCAATCTGACAATTTTCGTATAGTGTATTACTATACGTACAAAAAGTCATTTTTACTATCTAATATATAATTTATTCATGCAAGTAAAAAATATATACTTGTATTAAACCGGAGCAAGATGAGCTTGTTTCTAGAGATACAATATAATTAACAAGTTTGCAACACTGTAAATGCCGAAAAGGTCAGTGGAAGCATAGAACAATTGCATTACAATTGTTTTTCTGTAATATGGGTTATAAGTTGGACAGGGTATTGAAATAAATAGCATTTCCAAAGCAATGATCGAGTAAGTAAATTGAATATGAAACGACTTTTCTTGAAACGTACATAATTGAAAATGGCTCTGTGTATTTCGTAATTTTTTTAAAAGTTTCGGTAACCCGATAGAACTGAAAAGAAACCTACAGCATATCGGCTATCCGTTTTCAGATGGAATTTCGTGCAAAAATAGAAATTGAAAAGCACACCAAAAGGTGCAGCTTTATTTGAAAACCTGCTCACGGACATTCTATGAGAATGTTTCATCGGCATCGAGTAAACGTACATAATACGAGAGAGGGGGGGAGAGGGAGAGAGAGGTACGTATAGAGTGCACGTGGACATTGTATGCATGTCGTGCACCCAAATCTCACTCAATTGAGCTCCCAATACGTCGAGCCATTCAGTCGCGAGCGACTGCGCTTGGCGATCGCGTGCAATCGAGAGGAATGGTCGATCGGACACTGCACCTCTCTCTCTCGCTTGTTCATCTCTTTTTCCCCTCTGCCAGACTTCAACTGTTCCTTTCGAGCGAAGGCGAATCCGATTTGGCCGAAGCGAAAAATTTATTTACCCGAGAAGTTGCAAATGCGGCCGAAAAGAAAGAAAGACGGACACAAGGGCAGCATTTCGAGACGACCAACGACCCGGAATACTGCAGTTCCGCGAACTATGCAGCCACCACGTTGAGGGGAGGAGGGGGTAGGGTAGAGAAAAAAAAAGAAAGTCTTAAGATAACGAACCCCGCCGAACTTTATACCGAGTGCTTTTTGAAGGAGCTGAAGTCTCTTTATATTATATTAGAAAATGTTTGTATTTCTCTTGACTCACTGAATGCATTCTTCTCTTTCAGACAGCAGCTCTAGTTTAATTTTCAGTAAAAATTTTTCTCTTCATTCTGTCACGATGGTTCACTTTATATAGTCGATTTTAAGAAGCTTCCGAGATAAATCCAAGGCTGCTCTGTTTATACGTTCGTGGTTTAATTATGCAATGAATAGCAATTCGCTTGCTTAATTTGAACTAGGTACTTTAAAATAAGAATGATAATGAAAGAGCAAGTAATTAAT